AATTCAATCAAAGCCAATTTGTATTAATAACTGTTTGAAGATGAGAGAAATTTTCTTTCTTTACGTTGCACACGGCTGAGACTTGTCATTATTTCCAAAATCGATTGATATTAATGAAAAAATAAATTCCCACCAATTTAATATTAATCGTTTTTTTACAAAACTAAAAAAAAGTCTCTAATTAAAAAATTGAAAATGATGATACAGGAAATTTCAGATCCTCCTAAAATAAAAACTTTATTATTATCTTTCCCAATTAAAAATACATTCAAATTATTTAAAAATGCTTGTAATGTGACTTTGGATTTTGAGAATAAATATTTTGAAAACAAAATTGAGTTGATTAAAAATCGTAGAGAGGAATTCCAGTCAATTGCTAATGGCACAATTCAACAATCTGACGAATTGGCTAAATTTGGTGGAGATTTAATGGTCCTTATTAAACATTGTGGTGACAAGATTGTCCCCGATGAAGTTATATTAGATTATTTGAATAGACTTTTAAATGATGCTATAACTAATAAAACTGCAATAGAAGAAACCAACTCCAAAATTATAACTCTCAAGGATGAAATGATAAAGATTCATAATGAATTAGCAGAATTTGATTTTGAAAAGATGAAAAATATTGATTCTACAACATACGACAACTTAAACGATACTGAATCTAAAAAAAAGCTTTTAAATAAATGGTCAAAAATCGCTTTTATTATAGGCGGAATTTGTCTAACAATTGCTGTACCCCCAGCAGTAACACTAGCAGCATCAGTAGAATCAATAGCAGGATTAGTAGCAACGATAGCATTGTTAGTGGAAGCAGCAGCAGCAGTATCAGCAGGTGCAGTAGGGACAACTACTTTATGCATTGCTAAATCTAAAGAAAAAAAAGCTGTCAAATTACATGAAACTTTAAGTACAAGACAAGAACAAATGATCAAAAAATCAAAAATTTTACAAAAAAATATTTCCTCAATAAGTCAAAGTTTAAATAATCTTAAAAAATTTTGGGAGACTCAGATTGCTCAATTAGAAAATCTTATTGTGGAATTTAATAGTTTAAATGAACAGAGATTTCTTCTTAACATATTAATTATTGAACGCTTGGAAAAACGATGGAAGAAAACAATCAAAGAATGTGAAGAGTATTCTAACATTACAGGAAAGGAATTAGAGGATGATATGAATGATATGAATGATATGAATAATCAAAAATAGCTAATTATATGTGAGTGGTGTCACTTTTAAAAATATTTTGTTTTATCTTTATTTCTTTCACTTATTATGTTTATGTAACATCTCTCATAAAATTTATTTATATATTTAAAAGACATTTTAGGTTTTAAATCTTATTATTATACTTTGTTGTTACATTATGTATAAGATATTGGGCGCGCAGTGGCCAATATCATGACATCCTGGATGTCACTGAAATTGTCCATTGCATGCCCAATATCGATATTATCAGGCAATCACTATTAAGCTATTCTTTCAAACGTCATTGTTTATCAAGTTTAATTATATGATTTAATTATATCTTATAGAAATGTTGTATAAATAGTATATCAATCATATTGACATCATTTTGCACCTAAAATAACAAAATAACTTAATAGTGCTGTTTGCCCGATAACATTTAAATAAATATTAATGGGTATGAAATTTTGATTGGCTAATTTGAATTTTACGTCATGAATTGCAAATTCACATAAATTTTATTTTCACGCACGCACAACATTAATATTAACAAAGTATTTGTTGTGATTTTAAGAAAATGTCAAAAGTGTCACACAAGATTGGCCAATGAAATTAATGCAGGCTTTAAATAATCATGACAGAAAAACTAGACAAGCACAGATTAAGAGGGTAATTAGCATTTTTTGTTTTTGAAATGTTAAATCTATATGATAAATTATATTTCATATTAATATTAATATTAATATACTGGCTTTAGTTGTCATAGATTTTTAACAAGTTTGACTATAATGGAAATGGTATCTTATCACTTGCTGAAATTGAACTCTACTCACATTTTGCAAAAGTCAAGCCTGCCATTATGTGTGCTTACAAGGCTATTGATATTTCAAATGACTTTCACTTTGTGTGTTGGAAATTTTTACATCTAGCACATTAAATACTGCTAAATCAGTAATTCCGGGATAGAATAATTTGAACTATTCAAACCATTTAATATTCAAATCACATAATAAACAATTTGAATATTTCAATTACATGAACCATCAAGATTATTCAAATATTTAGTGAATTTAAATGAAAAAAATTCCTCATGGATGATTTAAACAATGATTTTTACAATGACGATTCTTATTCTGTTCTTTCATTTCCAGACCTTCTATACAATTGGATGCAGGTTCAACTAGCACATCTGAAAATATAATGGCACTACCATAATCTTTGTCTGTTTTAATTAGTTCTAACCAGTCACAAAAAAAAAAGGTGTGAAGAAAACTCACAATCAACTAGAATATGGTGACCCTATGAAAAATAAAATACGGAATTAACGTATTTCTTATACGATTTTGAAAAATTATCCCTTTTACTTTTCAAATTTAGTGTGAAATACGGAATTTGTAACATACTGAAAAGGCACGTTTTTAATTCCACATCTAAGGTACGGAATAGTACGGAATTTGTAACATACTAATTAGTGATGTTAGCCGGTAGAAAAACCTTAGCCGGCTAAGAACTTGAATAAATTTTTTATCTAATAATTTAGTAGACAAATATCATACTTTGTAT